CTTGCCAGAAGGGTGCTTTACACTACAGTTTTTAAACTGCAACATTAACACCCCTCCTTCAGAGTGCAGGCACTGTACTTCCCATCTCCAGGACTCAAGTCCGGCCTGCCGGTTTCCCTGAATCCCTTCATAAATGTTACTTTGCTCACACTCCAACAGCACGTCAAGTATTAAAAACCATTTGTCTCCATTCACTCCTATCAAACACGCTCACGCATGCCTGCTGGAAGTCCAAGCCCCTCGCACACAAAAACCTCCTTTACCCCCTCTCCTCCAACCCTTCCTAGGCCGACCCCTACCCCGCCTTCCTTCCACTACAGACTGATACACTCTTGAAGTCATTCTGTTTCGCTCCATTCTCTCTACATGTCCGAACCACCTCAACAACCCTTCCTCAGCCCTCTGGACAAACAGTTTTGGTAATCCTGCACCTCCTCCTAACTTCCAAACTACGAATTCTCTGCATTATATTCACACCACACATTGCCCTCAGACACGACATCTCCACTGCCTCCAGCCTTCTCCTCGCTGCAACATTCATCACCCACGCTTCACACCCATATAAGAGAGTTGGTAAAACTATACTCTCATACATTCCCCTCTTTGCCTCCAAGGACAAAGTTCTTTGTCTCCACAGACTCCTAAGTGCACCACTCACTCTTTTTCCCTCATCAATTCTATGATTCACCTCATCTTTCATAGACCCATCCGCTGACACGTCCACTCCCAAATATCTGAATACGTTCACCTCCTCCATACTCTCTCCCTCCAATCTGATATTCAATCTTTCATCACCTAATCTTTTTGTTATCCTCATAACCTTACTCTTTCCTGTATTCACCTTTAATTTTCTTCTTTTGCACACCCTACCAAATTCATCCACCAATCTCTGCAACTCTCTTCAGAATCTCCCAAGAGCACAGTGTCATCAGCAAAGAGCAGCTGTGACAACTCCCACTTTGTGTGTGATTCTTTATCTTTTAACTCCACGCCTCTTGCCAAGACCCTCGCATTTACTTCTCTTACAACCCCATCTATAAATATATTAAACAACCACGGTGACATCACACATCCTTGTCTAAGGCCTACTTTTACTGGGAAATAATTTCCCTCTTTCCTACATACTCTAACTTGAGCCTCACTATCCTCGTAAAAACTCTTCACTGCTTTCAGTAACCTACCTCCTACACCATACACTTGCAAAAACTGCCACATTGCCCCCCTACCCCCCCTGTCATACGCCTTTTCCAAATCCAAAATCCACAAAGACCTTTTTAAAACCTTATCAAAATATGTTCACTTATATGTTTCCCTGAAAAACACCGGTCCACAACCCCCTACCTTCCAAAAACCTCCTTTTTCTCTGCTATCCTTTCTCCGTCTTACTTTTTAATTCTTTCATTATAACTCACCCATAACTTTACCGGTACACTCAAAGACTTACCCCCAAAATTTTTTTGCACTCTCTTTTGTCCCCTTTGCCTTTATAAAAAGGAACTTGCATGCTCTCTCCCAAACCCCCTAGGTACCTTACCCTTTTCCTACATTTTTTAAAATTTGCACCAACCATTTCCAAAATAACCCCACCTCGTTTTAACTTTTCTATCTTTTTTCCCATCAATCCCGGGCTCCCTTTAACCCCCTTTCTTTTTTACCTATGCCTCACGAATTCCCCCACACTCACACTGGCTTTTCCTCACTCCACAAGATGTTATTCCTCCTTGCCCTATACACGAAATCAAAGCTTCCCATTTTTCATAACATTTAAAAATTTCCCCAAAATATTCCCTCCATCTTCCCAAACCTCTAACTCTCCTTTTAAAAACTCCCCTCCTATTTTTAACTGACAAATCCTTTTGTTCTCAGGCTTTTTAATTTGTTAACTCATTTTCCAAAACTTTTTCTTTTTCCAAAAAAAATTTGTTGAAACACTCCCCCCCCTCTCTCATTTGCTCTCTTTTTACATTGTTTCACCACCTCTTAACTTCCTCTTTTCCCCTCCATATACTCTTCCCTCCTTGCTCACTTCTACTTGTAAAAATTCCAAAAGCTAACTTTTTCTCCCTATCCCCTTTTACATCATCATTCCAAAAAATCGCCCTTTTCCCTCCGCACCCCCACTTTCCGTAACCAAAAACTTCTGCTGAAACTAAAACACAACATTTTTAAAAACCTACCAACCTCTTTTGACCCCCCTTGCCTATGCCTCAACCATCTACCTCCAATAGCTGTTTATATCTTACCCTAACTGCCTCCTCTTTTTTGTTTTTAAAACCTTTACCCCTCCTTTTCCCATGCTTTTATTTTCCTTGTATCCCATCTACCTTTTTCTCTCAGTGAGCTACAACTAAAAAATCTGATATATCTGTTTGGGCCCCCCCCAAAACATGTACATCCTAATCTACCAACAGTCTTTTATCTACCAAAACATAATTTAAAAAAACTACTTCATTTCGCCCACAAACAAACGTGTATATTATTTTCCTCTTTTTTTTTAAAATATGTATTACCTATAACAAAACCCCTTCATACAAAGTTCAATCAAAGGGCTCCCATTACATTTACACCGGCACCCCAAACTTACCTACCACACCCTCTCTAAAGTTTCTCCTACTTTTTCATTTAAGTCCCCTACCACAATTACTCTCTCCTTTTCAAAAAGGGTCCTAACTTTACTTAACATTTTTCCCAAAAACTCTCCTCCTCCCCTGCATTCCTCCTTTTTCCCCTGCATACACACTTTTTATGACCCACTTTTTCCATCCAACCTTTTCTTAGCCACAAAAATTTTTAATTTAAACCTTCTATTTCTCTTTTCCCCCCTTTCCTAACTGATCATTTTAAAATTACGCTTAAAACCCCTTCCTTTTCTCTAAAACTCCTCAGAACTCCAATTAATCCCATTTATTTTCCCCCCACTGAAACTCCCCAACCCCCTTCAGCTTTGTTTCGCTAGGGCCAGGACATCCAACTTTTTTTTCATTTATAACATCACAAACTCTGTTTCTTTTCATCCCGCACACATCCACCACATTTAAGCAAACCCAGTTTTTTTTAAAATTTTTCTTCTCTCTTTTTTAGTAAATTTTAAACAGGAGAAGGGGTTACTAGCCCTTGCTCCCCCCTTTTTTTCGCCCCCATACGACACGCAGGCTTTCGGAGAAAGATTCTTTTTTCCCCTTTCCCCCGGACAATAGAAGAAAAAAAAAGAACAAAAGCTATTTTTTTGAAAAAGGAAAAAAACCCAATGTATGTAATTAAATTTTGCATTTGCGTGTTGTGAAGTTGACCAAAGGTAAGTAGGGGTAGCAAGATATCCCTGTTATCTTTGCGTGTTTATGAGACAAAAAAGAAAACCAGCAATCCTACCCCTCATGCAAAACATTACAGGGTTTTTTTTTTTACATCTCTGGCGGGCGGGAGTACTTTCCCTGGGGGGTTGCTGTCTACCAAACCCACACCATAAAAAAACCTTTTTAAAATTAAAAACCCTTTTAAAATAAATTAAATCATAAGAAACAAACAAACACAATCTTGTTTCCCTTTAATCCGTCTAAAACATTTTAAACACTATTTTAATACACCGACAAACGAACACAGTTGGTTGCGCGTCCTCGCATTTCTCGGCTGAACGTAGATGACGTGTGCCCCCCCCGTTTTCTTGTTGATGGGCACCCACCCCCCCGTTTTTCTTTGGGGAATGCTGGGGTAGCACCCGTTTCTTTTTTGGCCCGCCCCTTCTCTGTGTTGAGCATGGGGGGCCATTTATAGTGATTTATTTTTTTGAAAACTATTTTTTTAAAAAGCTTTTTTCGAAGGGCCTTGGGGTCAGGTTTTTTTACCGTATACAACATATTTTGAACCACAGTGTGGCCTTTACCGTTTTGAGCAAAGACCCCAAAATTTTTGAAAATGGGTTTTCCACTAAGTTAAAAAATTAAATATAGGGAGTACTTAGTGGTGAGACAGCTGCTCAAGACCCGTCTGCAGGGGGGGCTGTTGGACGATAGCTGCTTTTCACTAAGTACTACTTATTTAATTTTTCCTTTCTTTGGGAAACCTTTCTCAACAACTACCACCATACCACCACTACCACCACTACCCCCATTACTACCACACCCCCCATTAAGCCACTACCATCCCTTACCACCACTAACATTATTACAACCACTACCCCCATTACCCCATCATACCACCCTAACCACCCCTAACCCCCAAAAACCACCATCACACTAGCCCCAATAACCCCATCCCAACTCCCACCATCACATCGCACCACCACCACCACCCACTCCCACCTTCACCTTGCACCACCACCACCCACTCACACGATCACCCCACACCACCACTACCCACTTCCACTTATCACCTCACACCACCACCACCCACTCCGACCATCACCTTGCACCATCACTACCCACTCCCACTATCACCTCACACCACCACCCACTCCCACCATCACCTTGCACCACCACCACCCACTCTCACTATCACCTCACACCACCACCACCCACTCTCACCATCACCTTGCACCACCACCACCCACTCCCACTATCACCTCACACCACCACCACTCACTCCCACCATCACCTTGCACCACCACACCCCACTCCCACCATCACCTCGCACCACCACTACTCTCCCCCACCATCACTTCGCACCACCACCACCCACTCCCACCACCACCCACTCCCACCGTCAACTTGCACCACCACCACCCACTCCCACCATCACCTTGCACCACCACCACCCACTCCCACCATCACCTCGCACCACCACCACCCACTCCCACCATCACCTTGCACCACCACCACCCACTCCCACCATAACCTCGCACCACCACCACCCACTCCCATCATCACCTCGCACCACCACTACCCCCTCCCACCATCACCTAACACAACCACCACCCACTCACACCATCACCTCACACCACCACCACCCACTCACACCATCACCTCACACCACCACCATGATTGAGATGACAAGTTTTGTACTACCAGAATGTGCCAGTTTGCTGCCATTTCCAATTTTCAGTATATATATTGTTTTATTCATTTGTTCGCTGACTGATCTTAACAATACTTTATATGACCATATTTTATGCACTCTTATTCAAGCAGTGAAAAATATGAATGAAACTGGACTATAAAATAATGAAGCGTCAAATTGCCAGCTCAATATTTTCTAGCCGAGGTAAACCACGGATAATGTTGACACCACCGTGGATAACACTGACACCACCGTGGATAACACTGCCACTGCCACAGATAACGCTGACACCACTGTGGATAATGCTGACACCACCGTGGATAACACTGACACTACCACAGATAACGCTGACACCACTGTGGATAATGCTGACACCACAGTGGATAATGCTGACACCACCGCGGATAACACTGACACTACCACAGATAACGCTGACACCACTGTGGATAATGCTGACACCACAGTGGATAACACTGACACCACCGCAGATAATGCTGACACCACCGTGGATAACACTGACACCACCGTGGATAACACTGACACTACCACAGATAACGCTGACACCACTGTGGATAATGCTGACACCACAGTGGATAACACTGACACCACTGCAGATAATGCTGACACCACCGTGGATAATGCTGACACCACCGCGGATAACACTGACACTACCACAGATAACGCTGACACCACTGTGGATAATGCTGACACCACAGTGGATAACACTGACACCACCGCAGATAATGCTGACACCACCGTGGATAACACTGACACCACCGTGGATAACACTGACACTACCACAGATAACGCTGACACCACTGTGGATAATGCTGACACCACAGTGGATAACACTGACACCACTGCAGATAATGCTGACACCACCGTGGATAATGCTGACACCACCGCGGATAACACTGACACTACCACAGATAACGCTGACACCACTGTGGATAATGCTGACACTACAGTGGATAAAACTGACACCACCGCAGATAATGCTGACACCACCGTGGATAATGCTGACACCACCGCGGATAACACTGACACTACCACAGATAACGCTGACACCACTGTGGATAATGCTGACACCACAATGGATAACACTGACACCACCACAGATAATGCTGACACCACTGTGGGTAACACTGATACCACAGGGGATGATGCTGACACCACTGCGGATAACGCTGACACCACAGGGGATAGTGCTAACACCACCACTGATAATACTGACACCGCAGCGGATAACACTGACACCACCGCAGATAACGCTGACACCACCGTGGATAACGCTGACGCCACAGGTGATAATGCTGACACCACCGTGGATAACGCTGACACTACCATGGATAACACTGACACCACCGCGGATAATGCTGACACCACCGTGGATAGCACTGACATCACTGCGGATAACACTGACACTACCGCGGATAACACTGAAGCCACAGGGGATAATGCTGACACCACCGTGGATAACGCTGACACTACCATGGATAACACTGACACCACCGCGGATAATGCTGACACCACCGCGGATAATGCTGACACCACTGCGGATAATGCTGACACCACCGCGGATAATGCTGACACTACCACGGATAACACTGACACCACTGTGGATAATGCTGACACCACCGCAGATAACGCTGACACCACCGTGGATAACGCTGACACCAAAGCAGATAACACTGACACCACCGCGGATAACGCTGACACCACCGTGGACAACACTGACACCACTGCGGATAATGCTGACACCACCGCGGATAACGCTGACACCACCACACATAACGCTGACGCCAAAGCAGATATCGCTGACACCACCATGGATAACACTGACACCACCACGGATAACGCTGGTGCCACAGGGGATAATGCTGACACCACCGCGGATAATGCTGACACCACCGTGGATAACGCTGACACCACCGCGGATAACGCTGACGCCACAGGGGATAATGCTGACACCACCGCGGATAATGTTGACACCACCGCGGATAATGTTGACACCACCGAGGAAAACGCTGACACCATTGCAGATTCTGGCTCAGCGATATAGGGGTCCTACTGTATATGAAAAACAATCCACGAAGGGTGGAAATCTTTAGCTCAAGTACTTTTACTTCTCAGTGCATCAACAGGAGCTGTGCAATGTTGCAAGTGTAACAACAGGAGAAATCCGGGAAGTTTTCTCAGAGTATGGTACAGTGGCACCCAGCAACACCTCTCAGAATATGAGATGCACGGCTGAGTGCCACCCACTCATAAGAGCCCCCATGTGGGGTCGGGTGAGCTAAGAGTCAATATACTCGCGAAGAGCACAGTGAATGTATTAAGGAATAACAGGATGTATGCGGCAATTTGGTGAGAGTAATATTGGGCAGGTTCATTGAGAGAGCGTGCTGGAGTGAGTGCACGTTCATAGGAGTGAGTTTGTGAACTGAACGACACACAGTGAACATTTTGCAGACCAGCCAGAGTGAAGGGAAGAGTGGTTGACTAGGTAATTGGACCACAATAGCTGAGTCACAGTAACAGTTTCTTATGAGACATTCTGTTCTTTCTGAAGTAACGTATAGATCATACTACCTGTCACAGTAACATATGAAGTACACAGCTCCTTTAACAGTAATGTATAAAGCACACTGCTCGTTTTATAGTAACGTATGAAGCACACTGCTCCTTTAACAGTAATGTATAAAGCACACTGCTCGTTTTACAGTAAGTTATGAAGCACACTGCTCGTTTTACAGTAATGTATGAAGGAAATTGCTCCTTTAACAGTAATGCATGAAGAACACTGCTCGTTTTATAGTAACGTATGAAGCACACTCCTCGTTTTACAGTAATGTATGATGCACACTCCTCGTTTTACAGTAATGTATGCAGCACACTACTCGTTTTACAGTAACGTATGAAGCACACTGTTCGTTTTACAGTAATGTATGAACCACACTGTTTGTTGCGATAACGTATGAACCACACTGCTTGTCACAGTAATGTAAGAACTACCCAGTAATTTGATCTGATTCCTAAGATATCGTTTTTTTTTTTAAGTTTTCGAGAAAATTTCACCTACATATAACTTATGGGACATATCCTTCACACAGAATGCATCTTTAATTATATTTTGAAGCTGAACATAATAAGCATTCATTAGTTATTGAACATCAATCTCATAAATATTAATTCAGTAAAATTTGCAAATAGGGATTTATGCTACCCATTTACAGCACTTTCCACGAGTTCAGGAACAAAAAACACGATGTTGGTGAAAATTTACAAACGATCGAAAGAGGTAATGACACGGGGACAGGAAATGGGTCTCGTCCTGAATCCATCCAAATGTGAAATCATCTCAGTCAGTCAACAAGTGATAAATGCAGTGAGATCAAAACTACCAGGAGCAGCAGTCATTGCCCCCACAAATAGTATCTTGCTAGGAGCACCTCTGGGAAGCAATGCCATTGACACAATTCTCAGGAAGAAATTGGAAGAGTTAAGGAGAATGGAACAACGAATAGGCAATCTGGACACCCACGATGCCTTGTACCTTCTCACAAAGTGCTTGAGTCTGCCCAGGTTGACATATTTCCTAAGATGTGCACCTTCATATGATAACCCTATACTGCACGATATGACAGTATTCTTGAGGCAGATTTTTACGAAAGTACTTAACCTTACTCTAGAAGACGGGCAGTGGAACCAAGCTACACTTCCAGTCAGACTAGAAGGCATTGGTGTCCGCAAGTCATCGCAGATTGCGTTACCTGCTTTTCTGTCCTCGTGTATTGCATCCAGAGAGCTTGTAGCAGCGATTCTCCCTGTACATCTTAGGGACAAGAATGGAGTCCAGGACCAAAAATTCATTGACGGAGCAATGATCTGGGATAATCTAACGGCTCAGAAACCAGACCTGCTTCCCCCAACAACTACAAACAATCGCACTGGGATGGTCCAATAGTGGAAAATATAGCCTCAACAATGCTTCAGAGTGTGTCAGGGAAGGATAGAGCCCGTCCTGCTGGCAGTGAGAGCCCCTCATGCTGGGGACTTTCTGTTGGCTGTTCCCAACTCCAGCCTTGGCACAACGCCTCGACCCACAGACCATCCGCATCGGTGTTGCCCTTCGACTTGCCGCCCCTATTCTCGCCGAACACAGGTGTATTTGTGGCTGTGAAGCAGCAGACCGATTCGGGTACCATGGTCTTGTGTGCCGTAAATCCGAGGGAAAGATTGCAGACATGAGGAGGTTAATAACATTATCAAGAGGAGCCTCACAACAGCTGGATGCCCAGCAGTAAGGGAGCCACCCCAACTATGCAGATTTGATGGCAGACAGAAGCGTCCAGATGGTATCACCCTTCAAGCCTGGACAGATGGGAAGCAGTGGTGTGGGACATATACATGTGCATCTACCTAGCTGATACCTATCTCTAATACACCAGGGAGGAAGGAGGGGCAGCTGCCAGCTTCAGGGAGTCCCAAAAGTCTAGAAAATATGGAGAACTTGCCCATCATTATATGTTTGTTCCCATAGGCTCAGAGACCCTTGCTCATGGGGAAAGAGTGCATCTAAATTCCTTAAGGAGCTGGGAAAAAAGACTCATCAGGGTAACTAGGGATCCCAGGGCAGCTAGTTTTCTGTTCCAGCGGCTCAGTGCGGCTGTTCAAAGGGGTAATTCCTGCTGTATTTTTGGGCACACGCCCCAGCTCTGAGGAGCTGGATGAGATTTTCGCCTTATAATCAGTGATACACACGTAACAACATGTACCTTATATGCCACCTTTATAACAAAGAAGTTATATCAGTTAAATCCCATCCTTCGCATTAATCAAAAACCAAAACCTAACATCATAATCTTACTAGAACATCTACATACGTATCCCTAACAATACAGCTTTAACATATACCAACATACGAAAAAACATAAACCGTCTAGATATGTCTGTATACCATACAGACTAAAACTAACAACAAGAACTTAGCATTGACACCAAACCGGTATCAGGGTACAGACCATAATTA